TAATGGTTATTTGTATCCACTTCTTTTGCATGAATCGCACTTCTTACTAAGGTGTTTATTAAATATAGAAGTTTACCAGGTGCATGGTAAAAGAGGAATGGTCAGATCCAGAATCGTCAGTCTGAAATTGGGAAGTCAGTCATGGAAGTTTCTGTAAGTTCTACTAGAATTGCATCTTCTCAGCAGTAGTGACAAAACCCTAATCTGTAAGACAAGGAAAAGAGAGGAAAGAATATGATCTAAGATCATCTTTTGAATTTAACATAAATGATTTCTCTGCTCTTTTGAGAATTACTTACCTTATTCTCATAAGAAACATAAACGTATTTCTCTCACAAAAAATTCATAAAATCTGTCTATGAATGCCAAATAAGAAAAAAAATCTACAAAGCATCTTGTCAGGAGGTTATCATTTAGAAATCAAGGAGTGTGGTTGTCTTTTCGTGTTTTCTGTAACCCTGGTCAAAAGAACATAGCAAACCTCAGGTCTGTTTGTACTCAAGTGATTATCATTCAGATTATAAACTACATCCAATGCTACATGGGAAGAAGAGTGACCCTTCTAAAATGACTTCATTTGCTTCATATTGGGATTTCAAGGTTAATATGTGGAGATCTGGAGAGAATTATAGAGACTTCGAGAGCTCTGGAGATTTCCCTCATGAGACTACATAAATCTCACTCTGTTTTTCTAGGGAAGAAGCAATTATTCTGTCTGTGGGGATTGGGCTGGTTACAAACTTTTAACGGTTAAATTTATTTTAACATATATAATAAAAGGTATATATTAATGAGAAACCATTAGTTATTGTCATGTGGATATTTATTATTGAATGTTCAAGATAGTTTAACTTCCTGTGCAGTGCTATTTCTTTGAAACTTTTCAATTCTGGTCTAGATTTTGGGGAACTAGAGTATATCTTTGTCTTCTACTACTGTTATCACATCATACTTTGCAACAATACACCTGACATGAATGTGATCATTTCACAATTGCCTTTCTAGTTTATATATTTCAATTAAAGTAATGATCTACTTTTCCCCTGTTTTCACAAATGACAGGGTTTGATCCTTATTTCTTGATGAACAGTATTTCATGTTCTGTATGTACAACATCTTCTTTATCCCCAATTAGTGGATAGACAGGTGGGTGGTGCCACTTCTTAGCTTGTGTGAGCAGCCTGAAAAGAACAACGAGTAGAGATATCAAGGCAATATTTGCATCTGCTTCCATGGTTTTCCAGTATGAGTGTCTTTAAGTCTACCTCTTGCCTGTTTTCTCTGGCAAAGGCTTCCAGCGCTATGTTAAATAAAGTTTATATCTACCATTTGATATGTTAGTCACTGTTGCCTTATTATAAATGCTTTTAGTGTGTTGAATTTTGTTCATTTGTACCTAAATTTTTCAGCATTGTCTGTTGTGGGGGAATGTTACTATTTCCATCAATGTATTTTTGCACCTATGAATATAATCATATTGTTTTATCTTCTTTGTGTACTCTCATTTTATTGTGTGACACAGGTGGATAAATCCCACTTAGTTGTGGTGCAAAATCTTACATGTCCCTGAATTTTTGTCCATAATTTTTTGAGGAAATTTGGACTGATACTTATCAAAGATATTAACATGTGGCCCTCATTTGATAGTCTCTTATTCTAAGAAAAATGTTCTCGGATAAACTTCTAAAATGTGCTTGAAAAAAAAATCTCTTTATTACTTAACGCTGGAGAATATCTGGTTTAATACAAGGCCTGCAACTCATTTGGTCAATAAACCTAAGCGCTTTTTCCAAGCAAAAATTCAATAAATCTAGGCATGTAAAAGGTTTTTTTATAAATATCCAAATGGTAGAAAAAAGATTCCCTAGGTCTGAAGAGAAAATTGTCTGAGTCCTTCTGAAAAGTTTTGTTAAACTCTAGAGAGAAGGCATCTGGCCTGTGGGTTTTCCTTGACAGACTATTTTGTTCATAGATTCAAATTTGTTCGTTTTTAAGTGTTTAAGATTTTCTATTTTCTTTCCAATTCAATCATGGTCAGAGTACTTGTGCATAGATGTGCCCATTGTTTATAGATGTTCCAATGTTTGCATAGATTGTTCACAATGCATTTTCATGATATTTTGTATTTCTGTAAGTCAATTCTCAAATTCATCTCTGATTTTTGCTTATATGATATTTTGTGTTTTTTGCATTAATTTTACCTATTTTGTATTTTATTTGAAGCTCTCTTTTTTTAGTTATTCAGCCCAATTATTTCCTTGTGTCATCATTTTGAACTCTTTTTTTAGTCTTCAGTCTATTTTTCACTTATTTTTGTTTTGATATCAAGTTCCCTCTACTTCTTTTCTTTTGGTTTGTTCTTATATGTCTACATTCTTGAGATGAATAGATTAGTGTTTTTATATATGCGATGTCTCTGCTGTCTGAGATATATGTCTTTATATGTCTGAGATATCTCTGTCTAACGTGCATTATCGCCTCCTTAGAGTCTCATGTATTAATAGCTGGAGCCAAATGATGATATGCTATGTTGGGAGGAGATAGAAACTTCAGGAGCTGGGCTGACTGATCTGGAAGAAGGTGGAAAAATGGGTTGTATCACTGGGGCCTATACCTGGCAATTCATGTAGTCCTACTCTTCTTCCCATCTGCCGTTAGTGACCTGCTTTGCTCTACTCCATGGTCTGTGAGCTATGATCTTTAGCCCCAGCTCAGAGCCTACTAACCATGGGCAAAAAGCTCTTAACACAAGAGCTGGAACAAATTTTTCCATTTATTAAATTGTTTGCTTCATGTAGTTTTCATTTGAGAACAGAATTGCTAACCCGGAAGCCAATTTTGAAGTTTCTCCAATTGTATTACAGATAGTTAATCTCCTACTGGAGTAAAATTTGGAGCGAGATATCTTAGGTATGTAAGCAATGTAGAAAAAAGCTTTCGTTGATGCCAGGAAAGCATTCACAGGGAGGAGACACATTCCTCATGCAGGCGATGTGGGAAAGACTTTAGTTGTCCTGACTCCTTCCAAATGAAAGAACTCACACTGCAGAGAAACTGTTCTTTTAATTATTAATAAGTTTTTTATTGTGAAAATACCGAATAGAGGGGTTACAATTTCACGAGCAAGGTAATAAGTACATTTCTTATCAAGCATTGTTGCCTCTTCCTTTGTTTCCCCTTACCATCCCTGCCCTCTCCCCTCTCCCCCTACCCCACCATCCCCCCAGTCAAAGTTGTAAAATTTGTTTTTGAACATAATGTCTTGTACGTCTCATTGTTTCAATGATTCCACCTGTATCCCTATTTAAACAATTTCACATGAAACCATTTGTTTCCCTTCCCCTCCACAAATTATACCAACATCAAATACAGTGAAAACAGGGGTTACCACAGAGAAACAGTTATGTGGGGAAGTTTTAAGTTTTCTAGACATCAAAGGTAGTAACACATAGTAGAATAGAATTGTCTCTTTCTCTCTCTCTCTGTCTATATATACAAATAGATAGATAGATAGATAGACAATAGACACATAATATACATAACATCTATACCTATATAATATTCAAGGAGGATACATAATTCATGTGATATTATATAATATTTTGCTAAGAGTCCAACACTAGTAAGGAAGGAGTGTAAACATCTCCTATGAATTTTATATATTAATAGCTCAATAAAATAATCTTTTTTGAATACTTGTTACTAAATTTTGTCCAGTATATATATACACCTACACACATATGGCTATGTAAATACAACCCTATAAAATGAGGCTAATGAAATGAACTCCAAGATATGGATGCAAGAGGGTTTTGTATTTGTATTTGTTGTTGTCACTGTTTTTTTTTTTTATTTTGGTTCTGTGTACCGCATACACATTTATCTGATTTGGAGAAGGGAAGGGGAATAACAAAACAATGAAACAAAGGGCAAAGGTTGAACCAATGCTACAGCAATACTCACAAAACACTATGTTGGAAATGAACTTTACAATTTGGGGGAGAGGAAGTTATGGGAGGGGTGGGGAAAGTAGGAGAAAACGAGCGAAGGGGTAACAATGTTCAACAAGACATGTACACACTACCTTACATATATAACTGTGAACACTCTGTATATCACCTTTACAATACATACATATAAGCTGATATGAGGCTATTTGTTAAGTGTCTGAAGCTGAGAGGTGACATCATGCACTTATAGAAGATAAAGAAGGAAGACAGTTAGGGCTGTAATTCATTCAGAGCTCCATAGTGTGAGAATAGAGGTTTTGTTGTGATGGGTGAGCCTAGGAACATTGAATGATAACCAATGATTAGGAAAACTGTTTGTTTTTAAGGCCACTGACAAATGGTAGTCTCTCAGTATTTTTGCACTAAATGAATATGGAAAAAAAACCCACCCCCACAATGCCACAATTTCTTCCAGCAAATTTTACACACTCACTTGCATTTGCCTTCCCTGGACACCTGCATGCATTTCAGACGCATGGGCTTTCTTATTTATTACCATACATTAGTTCTACAAGGGGTGAGATTTCATTGTGACATTTACAGGTCTGTATCCAGTGTATTCTAATCAATCCCCTCCTCCATGACCCCCTTTACCTCACCTTTGTAATATAATTCAAGACGTTTCAGTGATCTGTTTTTCTACTGTAGCCAAACTATTTTGACAACATCCATCCAATTTCTACCTCGTTCTGAGCTCTCCTTCTGTACCGATCTCACATATTTGTATTGACCTGCTGTAGAAAAATGCATGGAAGTGATCAAATATACCACTATCATTAATAAAATTTAGGAGAAAGCTAATCTAAAGAGATCATACATATTCTCACTCAAGTGTTATGTTTCTGAATACAATGTTCTAAGCACTTCCAGACAGTAATTATGTCACCTCTTGACCTTGGGCCTGATTTGGGTATTAAAACAGGAAACAGAGAGAGAATGTAAGACGAATTCATCTAGGTTTGAGCATGCTAAATACTAAAACTATAAAGATTATTTTGCCTTGAAAATTATCTTCATGAAGGCACTCTTGACCTCCTTGTTTCTCAGGCTGTAGACCACAGGGTTGAGCATGGGGATGATCATTGTGTAAAACACAGATGCGATCTTGTCAGTGTCCATGGAGTGACTGGAGCTGGGCTGTAAGTACATGAAGATGATTGTCCCATAGAAAATGGAAACTGCAGAGAAGTGTGAGGCGCAGGTAGACATAGCCTTGTGGGAGCCTGAGGCTGAATGCCTCTTTACAATGGAGATAAAAATGATCGTGTAGGAAATCCAGATAACCACAAAGGCAACAAATATATTGAGGCTACCTACACAAATAAGGACAAGGTCATTAAAACGCCTCTCGGAGCAAGAAAGAACCATGACTGCTGGAAGATCACAGAAAAAGTCATGGACCACGTTGGGCATACAGAAGGAGAGGCTGAATGTGTTCGCAGTGTGGATGGAGGCATTCAAGAAACCGCAGACATAGGAACCTATCATCAGACACATACACACACCAGTCGTCATGGTGGTGGTATAATGGAGGGGTTTACACACTGCTGCATAGCGATCATAGGCCATCGAAGCCAAGAGATAATTTTCTGTAGTAGCAAAGGCTGAAAAGAAGAACATCTGAGCAGCACAAGCGTTGTAGGTGATGGCCATGTCTCCTAGAGTGAGTCCAGACAAGACCTTTGGAGTGACAGCTGAAGAATAACAAAAATCCACGAAAGACAAGTTACCAAGGAAAAAATACATGGGAGTATGGAGTCGAGAATCCAAGAGGATTAATAGAATCATTCCCACATTCCCAACCACAGTGATGACATAGACAAAGAGGAAGATTACTATGAGGGGGGTCCGCAGAGCTGGGTCACTGGTTAGTCCTAGCAGGATGAATTGTGCCACTCTGCTCTTGTTCTCCATTAGTTGCATCTGGCAATCAGTAGACTCTGTAGCATGAGGGTCAGAGATATGATAATGAAGAATTCAAATGAAGAAGTACAATATGAATCACTCCAGGGAAGAAACAATTTGCACCAAGACTCTAATACCTATGTGATAATAGAAAGCTGCCTGGCATTGAATTTGATAGATTTCAATAGATAGTTGGTGTAATTTAAATATGTATGAATCTGTTGACTGAGAGGTAAGCAATTTACTATTTTGACATGCTGACTTGTTTCCATGAATCTATTCACCCTTTCACTTCTCACAGATCAATAGGAGCTGAGGGGTTGGGGAGGGGGTAGGCCCAGAAATGGAGGGACAAAGGGTGAGCAAATGCAGCTGTGCTACTCACAAGACACTATGTGTAAAATAACTATACAGTTAATAGGTGGGAATGGGAGGGAAAGACTGAGAGAGAGTGAAGGAAAGGATGATGTCCAAAAAGAAATACACTCTTTATCTTACTTATATAACTGTAACCCCTCTGTACACCATCTTTACAATAACAACACACATCTGTATGTATATTAAAAAGAACTGCTCTACACACCCTAGATGAACAGTAATGTCAGTAATAGGATGAGTTTGGACAAAAGATTAAAGTGCATTATAAGCTTGTTAATTCATTTATAACAATATCTAGATTTTTTTCATTTTAGTAGCTCTTTTTTGTTTCATAACCTCCTATAATAGGTAGATATATAGCAAAAGAAAAAAGTAAGAGTAACTAGAGTGTTATTTGTTTTACTTTTATTCCTACTTTGCAGAAGTAGTCATGGTGTTTCGTACCAAAATTCTTTGACAGAAGCATGGACATTTATTTCACAGACTCTACCAACGTATCAAAAAACCACTGAATAATTCATTCATCTTTTAAGTAAGCCACAGCATCTATTCTTGCTTTCATATCAATTACACTTTACACTAGTAATGTATATGTATACAGAAGATGATCAGTATGCTGGAAGAGAAAAATATAATCAATTGAGAAGAGTCAATTAGAAACCATAGAATCAGTCATGGAATCTGATACCAGGTATGATTAGAGGTGCATTCTCCATCAGGTTGTGGCTAAAATATTCCAAGTTCTTTGAGGCAGGAATAAATAGAAAAAGGGGCAAGAAACATGAATCAAAGGCAAGAGTGAAAAACACAAAACAATATGTTGGAAATGATCTGTACAGCTTGAGAGGGGGTTAGGGGAGAGAAAGTAGAAAAAAATGAGGGAAGGGGTAACAAGTTTGACAAGAAATGTACTTATTATAGCACTTGTGTAAATATAACCCCTCCGTACATCACCTTGACAATAAAGCAACCATTCAAGAAAACATGAATCCGTTTCTAAACTTACCTTAAGTTATTTCTGTTTCATCTGTAATCACAGCTACTTGAGAGCTAGAAATCAGGAGGATTGTAGTGCCAAGTCGGTTCAGGCACAAATTCAATGGGACTCTGTCTCAACCAAGATGCCAGCCATGGTGGTCCGCCGCATAGGAGGAATAAATAGAAAGGTTGGTGTCCAACGCTGGACCTGGCCAAATAAATACCTTGTACATAGATTGCCAAATAGGTGTCTTGTGGTGTAGTTATGAATCATTGTGCATTTTTTTTGACCACCGTGGAGGCTCACTGCAATTCCACAGGTCAGAGGAAGGACTATGTTCTAACTGATTTTGACTCAAAGAAAAAGAATAATGACCCATGAAGTATAGCTTTATTGCCCGTCCTCTTACATGATGTGACGTGGAATTGTGTGAGGATTTCACAGGCTAATCTGGAAACAATTAGACAAACTTAGAGAACTCTGGAGATTTCTCTTGTGACCATTTTCACCTCCCAATACTACCTCCTGGGGAAGAAGCAATTAAAACACGTGAGGGGATCATTGTGGGTATTGTAATGGGCACAGGTTTTTGTGTTACTTGTTATCTCTTAATTTTTTAATAATCCATTTAATACATAATGCCCATGCAGTTAGACAAACACTTTTTAGTATGCAATTCTAAAAGTATTATTAAACTCATGGCCAGGTAAACCACAGCAAGATTCAACTAAACTAGTTCATCATTGTTTCTTCAGCCTACAGCCCTAAGAATAAAGAAAATTGTATTCAAGTGTTGTGACTTTCTTACAATGTGCTAAATCCTGGAGTATGTGTTCTTTGATTGTAGTATACTTACCTAGCAATTAAGATCCATCCTTATTGTTGGAAGCTTTTATTGACTAAAGATTAGGATGCCATTGCATGAACAATACAAATTATTTTGATTGTACAGTGGAAAAAGGTATGTACTCATGATAAGAGTGTTATTTGTAAATAAGGGTGCTTCAAATATTTGCTGAAGAGTTTTGTGCAGGGCTCTGCTTTTCCAACAGTTGAAGTGTGATGTATAGGTATCAGGTTGATTTTTCAAATGGTAGGTTTTGTTTATTCAAACAGAAAATCACCAAATGGTTACTTTCTGAAAGTAGCTTCTGTTTAACCTTCCACCAGAAATCAATTTAAACTTGCACATTTTTATCCATATTTCATACTGAACATTTTTTATTATTTTAAATTTTGCTTTCATTTCCACTTGCAAAAGATTGCTAACTATTCTTCATCACGTATCTAGGTTATCATCCCAGTTGAATGTAGAAATGATTTTTTTCTTGCAGATTAATTCATTCATTTGCATAGTGTGTGCCAGTTCTCGCTGCTCAGCAGGCTTATCTCATCATCTCAGTTCAAGAGTATTGGGATTAAACATTTGTTCTGTGCATCTAGTTTACTTCACTAAATTTAACTTTGCTTGAAAGGAGAAAATATTGTCTTGTTATCTAGGCCATTGGGAAGGATTGTAACATGATACATATGATTATATATTTTATATATCATATAATATGTATCACATGGTATATGTCAGAAAATATGCATCATGTATATAATATACATGTGCAATGCATTATATAATATATTTTTTTATTTTATTTTATTTTTTTTGGGTCCAGTCGTGGTGCCTGAACTCTGGGCCTGGGCACTGTCCCTCAGCTCTTCAGCTCAAGGCTAACGCTCTACCACTTGAGCCACAGCACCACTTCTGGCTTTTTTCTTTTTGCTTATGTGGTGCTGAGAAATCGAACCCAGGGCCTCATGCATGCAAGGCAAGCGCTCTACCACTGAGCCACCTTCCCAGCCCTATAATATATATTTATAACATTTGATGCAGCATGGGTGACAATATACGCACTCCAATAATCTTCCAGCCCCAATTTCACCAAGTAGGAGAGTAACAGATATAAATTATGGACTGTGGAGAAAACATGTATTATCATTATCATCATCATTATCAATATTATTAGTACTATTATAAGACTTCATATACTGTTTGCAGAACATACAGGGCCCTACAATTGTCTTCGTTCCTTCCAAGGTAATCACTGGGATCCGTTTTCTGATAGGGGCTGGTATAGATTGTAATTCCTTCAGCAGCCAATAAAGTTAAGAGACACCACACACAGAGAGCTATACTCTTCTAGGCAAACAATGTAATGTGCTGGCTGTAGCGTGAAAAACACATCTGTAGGATGTTAAAGAATGTGCCCCAGATATAGGGCTCTGAATAGAGCAAATCAACGTGTCATGCACAGCAATAGCATGTCGTGGTGATGGTGTTCACGATACTAAAATGAGAGATTCATCTGCATAATTTCGAGAGTTATACACACAACTACCAATCCTTTATAGGACAGACCCTTGAGGTTGTGGGTTAAATGTTCAAAGAGATTTTTACTGCGGAGAAATGCAAAACACACAAACAAAAAATTTCTTCCAGAAGCAAACCTGTTAGTTTCCTGGAAAATTCACCAAAGATCTGAAGAACTTAATGAATATAGAAGAAAGTGACAGAGTATACTATTTAGAAAAATATTCATCAAACTTCAGGTGATCTCAAAGGAAAACAGAGGAAGGAAAAACTGATCAACAAAAAGCCTCAATTGTGAGCTATGGTGTTTTGTGGCGGGGGGGGGGTCCGGTCATGGGGCCTGAACTCTGGGCCTAGGTGCTGTCCCTCAGCTCTTCAGCTCAAGGCTAGCGCTCTACCACTTGAGCCACAGGCCCACTTCCAGCTTTTTTCTTTTTGCTTATGTGGTGCTGAGGAATCAAACCCAGGGCCTCAAGCATGCAAGGCAAGCACTCTACCACTGAGCCACTTTCCCAGCCCATACAGTGTTTTGTTGAAAGGCACTTAAAACTTGAGGATCTGAGGCCTCCTTGGAGGAAACAGGCCATTGATACCTGCCATTGGTTCGGTCTTGCCCTGGTTCCTTCTTATATCCTGATGTACATCTTGTCTGCAATGGGGTGAGGTGGCTTTCCCCACCACCTACTACTTGCTATGATGTTTCAGACTCACCATTATCTAGAAAAATCACACTGGAGAGAAAGAAAACCTACCTACATAACCTATGTGAAACCATCTGAGAATATTCCAGGTACATTTGATTAAATGAAATAATTAAGTGGAGAGGACATTACAGATATATACAATGTGGGAAAGCCTTCAGATGTTCCAATTCTTTCAAAGATTACCCTTCATATTTTAGTTTTTGTCATCTTAAATAACTGCACAAAGGAGTTGTGATTTAACAAAGCAGTTTATGAATATAATGCATCTTGATCAGTGCTACCGTTTTCCATATTCTCACTCATCCCTCCCCTACCCGCCCCTTCCCTCATTATACTTTACTTTGTAGGATATACATTGGATTCTTGGCTATGTTCTTCCCCTCTTCTGCTTTTCATTTGTCTATCCCTTTCCCCTTGACACCATCCCACCAATTTCAAGTACTGCTTGTACTTGCTTCTTCAAGTACTTGCTTCTTGGTCAAAGATTTTCAAAGACATATAGAGATGCACAGTAGACAGAAAGTCTGTGTATAAGCAGTGTGGGAAAGTCTTTACATGTTCCAGTTCCTTTCAAATATGTAATAAAAATTCACAG